TGGAAATTTAACAATTTGTTACTTTATGACTCTAAATATATAGAACTAATTAAAAATGTTATACTAGACACCAAAAAACAGTACTCTTTACCTGTATATAATCATGAAAATATCAACCAAATTTCAGATTTTGAATTGCAGTTGACTATTAACGATCAATTATTTTTAGAGACTCTTTTAATGAATATCAGAGGGAAGAGTATTTCTCACTCTTCTTATAGAAAAAAGCAAAGGAATATGAGGGAAAATGAACTTAAAAACATTATTAAGGACTTAGAAAATGAAGACATCCTTAACATAAATGAGATAGAAGTTAAGAAGAGGGAATTAGAAAATATTAGGAAACTTAGAATGAAAGGTAGTGTAGTGAGATCAAGGGCACAGTGGATAGAAGAAGGAGAAAAGCCAACAAGCTATTTTTTTAGTTTGGAAAATAGAAATTTTACTTCAAAAATAATCCCTAAAATTCAGATAGATGAAGGGGCCATTGTAACAAAGCAGGATGAAATTTTAGATAAGGTTAAGTCATTTTATGAAAAGCTGTATGTTGTAAACTGCGACTTAGTTGATGTCAATTTAGATGATTTTCTTAATTTTGATGATATTCCAAAACTTTCAGTTGCAGAATCAAAAAATTTGGAAGGGTTAATATCTTTGGAAGAGGCAAGTAAATTTTTGAAGACTATGAAAAATAATAAAAGTCCTGGATCAGATGGTTTTACTGTCGAATTTTTTAAATTTTTTTGGAAGCAGTTAGGAATTTTTGTTGTTAGGTCTTTAAATTATGGATATCTGCATGAAGAATTATCAATTACTCAGCGACAGGCTATAGTCACCTGCTTACCAAAAGGCGATAAACCAAGACATTTTTTAAAAAATTGGCGCCCAATCTCGTTACTGAATATTACTTATAAAATAGCTTCTGGGGTTATCGCTCAAAGATTGAAGTCAGTACTGGATAAATTAATTAGTAAAGATCAAACAGGTTTTTTATCAGGACGTTATATTGGAGAAAATACTAGGTTACTATATGATCTGATGCAATTTACAGAAGAAAATGATATTCCTGGCATGATTTTGATGATAGATTTTGAAAAGGCTTTTGATTCGGTATCTTGGAATTTTATTCAAAAAGTCCTGGTTTATTTTGGTTTTGGAAACAACATTCTTAAAACTTTACATAAAAATGCATTAGCTTCAATCAATCAGGGGGGCAATTTATCTTCTTTCTTTGACATAAAAAAGAGGCTGTAGACAGGGCGATCCAATCGCACCGTATATCTTCATACTCTGTGCTGAAGTTTTAGCTATAAGAATGCGAAATAACACAAATTTAAAAGGTATTCAAGCTGGAGACATTCCTCTACTTCTCTCCCAATATGCTGACGACACATTTCTCATGCTTGATGGGACAGAACAGTCATTATCTGAATCTCTTAAAGAATTAAATATGTATGCAAGTATCTCTGGACTAAAAATAAATATTGATAAGACTCAGATTATATGGATAGGATCAAAGAAGCACACTCAGGATACATTTTTGCCGGAGTTAAATTTACAGTGGGGTCGGGAAAGGTTTAATCTTCTAGGGGTAGAATTTGATGTAAATCTACACGCTATGCCTAAAATTAGCTATGACAAAAAGATTGTTAAACTGAAAAATATTGTGAATATATGGAAAAGAAGTCTTACACCCTTAGGAAAAATACAGATAATTAAATCCCTCCTGATTTCACAATTTAACCACCTCTTTATAGCCTTACCAAACCCAGATGAAAAGACTTTCAATAAAATAAACTCCATTTTATTCGAATTTTTGTGGAATAGTAAAGTTGATAAAGTTAAGAGAAGTACTATTGTTCAAGATTATCTAAATGGTGGATTAAAAATGATCAATATAAGGGCATTTGCAGATTCATTGAAGTTGAGTTGGGTCAGAAAGCTCTATAATTCACCCGGTAAATGGTTTTCAATATTAAAGACTTTTGTAGACATAGATTACTTACTAAACATTGGCGGGGAATATATTCAAAATTGTCAAGGAAAATGTAACAATAAATTTTGGAAAGATATTTTTAAAACATGGTACAAATTACATATTTCGAAGGAAATGACTATCAGAAGAGAGCAATCAGTTTTAGGAATACCCCTTTGGTTCAATAACGATATTACTGTGTCAGGGAAATATATCTTTTACAAAGAATGGTATACAAAAGGAGTAAGGACAATAGCTGATGTGTTAAATGGAGATGATAATGGAAACTTTCTCAGTTTTGAAGATTTCAGACATATGTACAATATAACTACTAATTTTCTTAAATACCGAGGATTAATATCATCTGTAAAAAAATATTTACTCAATCATTTTCCTTTAGAGACTACAGTTATGCAACCAATCATACTGTTGCATATACAATTCTTTTTGAATAAAAATAAAGGCACAAAAGATTTCTATGATATTCTAAACAAAAACTTCAGGGAACCAACAGGTAAAAAAAAAGTGGGGGGAACAGTTCGAACTTACTAATAGAGACTGGGAAACCATATACAAAATGCCTTTTTTGGTGACGAAAAACACTAAACTCCATTGGTTTCAATACAGGTTAACACATCACATTCTAACAACAAATTCCTGGCTATTTAAAGCAAAACTAGTTGACAGTCCTTTATGTAATCTGTGCAATTCTGAAAGAGAATCATACAAGCTCTGGAGACACTTACTGATGCATTATTTATACCTTTTTCTATCAACAAACAGTCTTTTTTGTTTGGAATAATAAACAATAGTCCCAGTTTTAGAGTGGATAATGAAATAATTTTAATTATCAAACACTATATATATACACATTGTACATAGGCGTGGGGATGGGAGAGATGTGTGTGTGGAGTGTGAGAGGGTCGGGGTTTGGATAAAGGGGGAGGAGGGTGGGGAGGTGGGGGGGATGGGGGGGTGGGGGTAGAGTGAATGAGCGATTCTGTGTCGGTGTTTCATTTCTTTTCCTGCAATTTAATTTGTCATTTTGATTAACTTGATAAAACATGTTGGCTGCAACAGTCCAGCTTTGCGTTACGTGAATCCTGATACAAAGGTATTGAATGCCTTAGTTAAAGTACTGATAATACACCAGAGTACAGAAATATTTACATTTACACATAGTCGTTACACTTGTTTCGCCGCTGAAAAACATCGGCCGACAACTCACGTAGTTCATTTTTTAGTTGTCTATTTCATGTATAACTGTGTAGATTAGTCTGTTGTGAGTGACGTGCGAGTGCGAGTGCTATTGTTTACCTGTAACATGTGGTTTCTCCGCTGTCCAGGTGGAACGAGCTATATTTAGCCGCTACGCCTGGTCAGAATCTGTTCTATTGTTTACCTGCGCGGGTCGAAGTGTCCTTTTGTGTGAGCTGTCAAATAATGTTGTCAAGTTTGTTTCAAGTGTTTCTTCTCGTTATGTGCTGTGTACGTAAGAGTGTGTAAGTCATTTCGCCATAAGTTGTCTTTGTAAATCGTTGTCCTTTGTTCGTTAGACTGAGCTCACCTGTAGCGCCGGGTGGACGTGTTTTTGACACGTAGCGGTCGCTCAGCTATTCTTATACTTTCTGCCCCCTTGTCTGTTCAACCATTATTTGTTACCATTTTATTCTGAATACACTTTTAAAGAGAACAAATCAGTTTTGTTTGCGTTATATTTAATTCTCATGGTAAAATTATACAAGGCCCACTGACCGGCCCGAAACTTAACATGATGACAAACGGCAATTGTCACATTGGCGCCCAACGTGGGGCTCAGTTAGTAGTGCCTTGTTAATTCTATATTCTTCTTAAATGTTACCAAGTTAATTTATTGTTTACAAATTTCGTTATTATGGATTCTTTGTCTCGTTCTCCTCAACATTCGTCATCACCATCACAACACCCGCCGTTAGTGTCTACGGCTACTAGTAATCAGTTTGTCCCACAGATCCTGGACATGTTTGAAAAACAAAACCACTATTTAACTTGCGTGTTAACAGATTTACAAGGCGAAATGAGAGCAGTGTTTAACGACGTGTTAGAAATGACAACCTACCTGCTTACCGAGCTAGTAAATACGAGAAAAGAGGTGCAGTTTATTAGTGAGCAAACGTTCAAATTAAAGGACTGTCTAAGGGCTACACACAGGACAAAACATAACGTTTTAACGTCTGATAATTACAGTCAAACTGATAGAGTTTTATTGTTAGATACAGTTCCAACTCCTGCAAACACATCGCTTAACACACGTGTTCCTTTGGCCTCAAGTACACAAGTTGAGCAGCATGCTAATGCTAGTTTTCTGCATCAAAACCCACACTTTGATGACGATGTTCTGCAGCAAGACACATATCCCGATGTCAGCGCTTTGCAGCATGATGGTATACCCACTGATGCATGTGAGGGGCATGTTGCTTCTAGTGCCCAGCAGCAGAGTGGGCATGTTGATTGTCCGTTTCCGCAGCAAGGTGGGCATACCTATTCTTCTGGCCTGCAGCATTGTGGGCATGTTGATTCAACTATCCAGCAGCAGAGTGGGCATGTTGGTTGTCCAATTCCGCAGCAAGGTGGGCATACCTATTCTTCTGGCCTGCAGCATGGTGGGCATGTTGATTCAACTATTCAGCAGCAGGGTGGGCATATTGATTGTCCGATTCCGCAGCAAAGTGGGCATACCTGTTCTTCTGGCCTGCAGCATGGTGGTCATGGCTGTTCCACTTCTCCTGGGCAAGGGGAACAAATTGATCAGTGTTATTCAACCACCGTATGAACATAGTTGCAGTTGTACACAAGGGGGCGTAATGATACCTCTCACCCGTGGAGTAAAATTCCAGGGCACCTAGATGCTTCTGGTAGCCTGCAGATAGAGCACGTTAAACCAACGAGGTCAGCAGGCCAAGGTTCAAGCGTGCCTCTCAAAGCTGAGCCTAGTTCTAACACATCACAGCTATCGGGGACAAATAGTACTGTGAAAAGGGTTCTTATGAAACCTGTTGTTTACGATGGTAAAGAGGACTGGGAGGAGTATCTCTCTCGGTTTGAGATAGTGGCAGACATTAATAGATTGGATGTAAAGGAAAAGGGCTTATATTTGGCAGGGAGCTTGGCTGGGGCTGCAAGGGCAGTGCTCAGTGATTTAGATACAGAGAGTCGTCGCGATTTCACTCAGTTGACTTCTTCACTTCAGCGACGTTTCGGCAGTGAATGCAAGTCAGAAATGTTCCGTGCAAAGTTGCAGACAAGGGTGAAGGGAAAGGAAGAGTCAATATCCGATCTGTCAAGGGCTATTCGAAAACTCACTCGCCAGGCCTATCCTAAGGCACAGCAGCAAGTCTTGGAGACTCTTTCGGTGGATTACTTCATCGACGCCATTGTTGATCCAGATATCCGCCTTCGCCTCCGAGAAGCTCAGTTGGAGACTCTGACGCAGGCTGAAACCCTTGCTGTGAGGCTCGAGTCCTACAAGTTGGCTGATAAGTTCAGGAATCGGCCAGTGCGAGCTGTTGAAGGGATGGGTGATGTTGCCAAAGCCCTTGATGACAAATCTGCTTGTGCTTCGAATGCTCCTCCAAATGAAAAGTTAGTCCAGTCCCTTAGAAGTGAGATTGAGTCCCTGAAAAAGAAAGTAGAATCCAAGGATGGGAACCGTAGTGGGCAAGGTCAATCCGGTCGAAGTTCGCATCGGGGCAATCTTAATCCGAAGTGGTCAAATCAGAATGGCGGCAACTCTCAAAAAGGCCATATCAATGCTGAAGCTAACAGGAACTCGGAAAACTCCAAGAAGCCGGACTCGAGGGCCGTAGCCCGGAAATAGATCTTGACCCGAGGCCCAACCTTATAGTAGCCCATAACACATGGACCAGTGAAGAGGGTGTGTTTGTTACGGCTAATGTGGAGGGCTTACCTGTAAGTTTTTTGGTCGATACTTGGGCTGCTATCACATTGCTCCGGACAGAACTACTGAAGGTGTTACCTAAATCGTTGGCAAAGGAAGTTAAAAGGGTGAATAAGTCGTTATTGACGGCTACTGGTGAGGTTGCACCGCTGCATGGTCAATTGAATGTAACCATGAAACTGGGCGAGAAAAACGTCAATCATACTGTTTGGTTTGCCGATATTCAAAATGATGGTATCCTCGGTGCTGATTTCCTCACCGGCACTAAGTGCAGTATCCTCTTAGACTCCTTAGCTCTTGAGATAGGAGGGCATAAAGTTCCTTTGCATATGTGTCTCTCAGAGGAGAGTTCCGCATGTTGTCGCGTAACTATATGTGAGACAGTAACAATTCCTGCCAGAAGTGAAGTTCTTGTCAGTGGTAAACCTGTAGACCATTATAAACCAGGCTAAACTTGTGTTTTAGAACCAACAGTACGTTTCATAGAACGTAGCCACGTTTTTATAGCTAAGACCGTTGTAAAGCCGGATGGTTCAGCTATACCTCTTAGGTGTGTGAATGTCACCGAACGACCACTTACGGTATATAAAGGCACAGTCGCAGCTTTCTGTGAGCCAGTATGTGCTATATCTGAGCTTGATTGTGAGGATCTGAGAGAACCTGTATCTGAGGTTGCTGATTCTGTTCCTGAGCATCTGTTGGATCTCTTTGATCGCTCCAAGGAAAACCTTTCGGAATTCCAGCAACAGCAGGTTGCAGATCTCCTGATAAAGTACGGTGACATATTCTCTAAGGGACAGTCTGACATGGGCAACACGAATGTGGTTACACATGATATTGACACCAGAGATGCAAAACCCATTCGCCAACCCCCACGTAGAATTCCATTGGCAAAGCAAAAAGAAGCAGAGAAAGAAGTTGAAGAAATGTTGAAAATGGGAGTCAATGAGAAAGCAAGTGGTCCGTGGGCGTCACCCATAGTATTAGTAAAAGAAAAATGGTTCAACGCGCTTTTGCATCGACTATCGCAAACTAAATGACATCACTGTAAAGGACAGCCATCCACTACCTAGGATAGACGATACACTAGACACGCTTTCGGGGGCTTCTTGGTTTTCCACCTTGGATCTGAAAAGTGGATACTGGCAGGTGGACGTTGCAGAGAAAGATCGACAGAAAACCGCCTTTGTAACTGGGTATGGTGGATTTTGGCAGTTCAAGGTCATGCCCTTCGGTCTCTGCAACGCCCCTGCCACATTCGAGCGATTGATGGAGCAAGTCTTGACTGGTTTAACCTGGAAGCTTTGTCTAGTGTATTTGGATGATGTGGTAGTCTTTGCTAACACGTTTGAACAAGAGCTAGACTATTTTATGCAAGTCTTAGACCGTGTACGCTCCGCAGGCCTGAAGTTAAGTCCCAAAAAGTGGTGCGACGCCTACCCCATTCCTGACCAAGAAGCTGATAAGGTGGCAGAGGTTCTAGTAAATCGGTTCGTATCACAGTTCGGTGTACCCAGGCAACTCCATTCGGATCAGGGTAGGAATTTTGAAGGTTTTGTGTTAAAAGAAATGTGTAACATCTTGGGAATCGATAAGACTAGAACGACTCCCTTGCATCCCCAAAGCGATGGCATGGTTGAAAGGTTAAACCAAACATTAGAAAGCATGCTCTCCATGTTTGTAGATGATAACCGAATGGAGTTGCCTGGGTACACCGAACTGTGATATGAACCTATTTACTAGAACCTCTGCCACCTTATCAGCTTCTTGGTCAGGAATGGGGTAGGCGTCGCACCACTTAGTGAAATAGTCTCCTACCACCAGCAAGTAACGATTGCCAAGATGTGTGACAGGAAAGGGACCCATTACATCAACAGCGATTCGTTCGAGTGGAGCACCAACTACATACTGCTGCAGGGGAGCCTTGGGAGATTTAGGAGGACGTTTCCTGCGGGCGCAAACATCGCAAACCCTGCACCAATGCTCGACATCTCTCCTTAACCCGCACCAGTAATACCTGGCTCTAACCTTGCCTAACGTCTTGGCAATACCAAGGTGACCCGCAGTCTCTGAATTATGGAGCTCTCTAAGAACACTTTTACGCAAAACCTCTGGCAGCACTATCTTCCACTCATATGAAAGACCACCAACATTCTCAAACCGTCTATAGAGAACACCAGACCTGATCTGCAAAGCATCCCAGCGGGACCAATAATGTTTCACGGCTGGAGAGCAACTGGAAATATCTTCCCACAAGGGTCTTTGACCACTCTCTTTCCAACCTACAACCACACTCAAGACCTTATCCTTCAACTGTAAATTTTTCAACCTGTCCAGAGAAATCGCTCCATTACCTTGGTCTTCAAAGCTGTCAGCCTGAGCCGAGACATCTAGATTCGAGCTGTCAGAAGAACCCGCCTGCCTCAACGCTGCAACGTTACAAGCGCCATCATGTACTGCGTATCTGGCATCAGCTTTGTCGCAATATGAGCACGGCGTCCCAGCACAAAGCCTCCTGGAGAGAGCATCAGCATTCATATGACTCCTCCCCCTCCGATGCTCGATTGAGAAGTCATATTGGGACAAAAGCTCGAGCCAACGAGCAAGCTGGCCTTCCGGGCTCCTGAAGTTCTTAAGCCAACAAAGTGACCCGTGATCTGTTCGCACTTTGAAGTGACGACCATAAAGATAACAATGGAATCGCTTTACAGATTTTACGAGAGCTAACAATTCCCGTCTGGTTACACAGTAGGACTTTTGAGGCTTGCTTAGGGATTTGCTAAAATAAGCGATGACTCTTTCATGGTTATCTTGGACCTGGGACAAGACTGCCCCAACACCAGTATCACTGGCGTCGGTATCCAGTATAAAGCTAGTGTCCCTATTTGGAAATTGCAAGATGGGAGTGGTAACCATTTTGGATATAAGCTCTTGGATTCACAGGCATCAGTCCACTCAAAGACATGGCCAGATTCCATTAACTGATGAAGTGGGCGGGCGATGGTTGAGAAACTCTTAATAAAGCGTCTATAGTAAGAGCTCATGCCCAGAAAATTCCTCACTTCCTTGAGACATCTGGGAGTAGGCCAATCCCGAACTGCGGAAACTTTTTCAGGATCAGTCTCAATACCCTCACCAGAGATCAAATGACCCAAGAAATGAACTTTCCGCCGAAATAGATGACACTTTTTGGGACTTAACTTCAGACCAGCGTGACTGGGATGTGCACGTGCCTTTGCTAATGATGGCATATAGGTCATTGATCCATGACTCCACAGGAGTATCTCCATGTACCATGATGTTCGGAAGAGAGATAACGCTGCCAGTTGATCTGATGTTTGGTGGTCCTGAATCTGACAGTACTGTTCTCAAGAGCTCATATGCGCATGACCTAACGAGCAGATTAGAACACATTCATGATTTTGCTCGTGACAAGCTGGCATTTGCTCACGGCGCAATGAAGAAAAATTATGACCACAATGCCAAGTCTGCCCGGTATGAAGTAGGGGAAGCCGTCTGGCTTCACAATCTTGTTAGAAAGAAAGGATTGTCCCCGAAACTTCAGCTGCCTTGGACTGGACCTTTCATTGTGACCAAAAGGCTGACTGATGTTACATATCAAATCAAGCAGACTCATCGTTCGAAGCTACGAAGCATTTCAATCGAAGCATTTCAATCGTCTGAAGCCTTATAATGGTGGCGAGAAACCTACCTGGTTCGACGATTCAATGGCTAGAAGAAACGATAGCGTTGTCGTTTCTCTTCCCGAGACTTCTGCAGTGGAAGAATCTTCTCTCTCTTTGTCTTCTGTTCAGGAAGCAAATGCTTCAGGAACTGATACTGAATCTGAGCCTGAGGATTCCAACCCTAAAAGTCTCGACTGTGATGCCTCTGACGCATCCAGTACTGCTCCCTCCTCTGTCTCTGGCAGCCATAACATTGTCAGTAGTCGAGGAAGGCGCATCGTTAAGCCTGGTTGGCATCGAGACTTTGATATGCAGAGTTGATGATGTTCCCACGTGACCTTGTGGATGATGGCTTTACTACCATGAGCCATGGATTTGTGATGTGCCCGTGTGACCACACAGATGATGGATCCACTACCGTGGACCATACTGCATTCTTCGTGATCTTCTGGAAGGATTCCCGTCACTTCGGAACAGTTTCGTCGTCGACATTCGCCTGGACCCAAATGGAAAGGACACAGCAGAAATGTGGTCATCATTGACTTGTGTGTCAGTTTGTGTTATTCAGAAGGATCTTGGAATGGACTACGAACTGGAAGTGTATGAAACATTTTCTTTTTCAGGATTTCTTTTCGATGGATGTGACTTTGTGGTAAATTAAATAGTGATTATTTCAGTGTCAATTAATTGTAAGTATAAAGTAAGTATACCTGTAAATTGTCCATATAAGGAATTAATTTGATGTACACTATAATTGTAATTTGTGGACAAATTTCTGTCTTAGCAGGGGGCAGTGTCACGTAATTCATTTTTTAGCTGTCTATTTCATGTATAACTGTGTAGATTCGTCTGTTGTGAGTGACGTGCGAGTGCGAGTGTTATTGTTTACCTGTAACATGTGGTTTTTCCGCTGTCCAGGTGGAACGAGCTATATTTAGCCGCTACGCCTGGTCAGAATCTGTTCTATTGTTTACCTGCGCGGGTCGAAGTGTCCTTGTGTGTGAGCTGTCAAATAATGTTGTCAAGTTTGTTTCAAGTGTTTCTTCTCGTTATGTGCTGTGTACGTAAGAGTGCGTAAGTCTTTTCGCCATAAGTTGTCTTTGTAAATCGTTGTCCTTTGTTCGTTAGACTGAGCTCACCTGTAGCGCCGGGTGGACGTGTTTTTGACACGTAGCGGTCGCTCAGCTATTCTTATACTTTCTGCCCCCTTGTCTGTTCAACCATTATTTGTTA